GGTCTTGAACATCTAGCTCTCACTGGCAAAACTGAAGGCAAGTGAGGCAGGGGTAGGCCCAGAACAACATACTTAGGGAACCTCAACAAATGGGTAACAGGAAAAGATCAGGGAATCGTAGCTTTTTTTAGAGCATCCGAGCAAAGGAATGAATGGGAATCCATGATCGCCGATGTTTGTCGCAGATCTGGCACTGGATGATGATGATGATGATACGTATTGTATCTCTAAGAAAGGTACGGTATTACAGTAGAACACAGCATCTCAGTAAGAGAAGATAAGATAAGATAAGATAAGGTATGATAAGATAATACTTTATTATCCCAGAGGGAAATTTTTCTTGGCTGTAGAGGACCGTAAAACAGATGTAGGTATACATAAACATTAATTATATATTTCTCTCATAAAAATTCAATATGAAAAGAAAAGTAAAGCTGACAAAATGTACATATCACATCAGGTGTATCATTCAATCACACGCAGGGATTTAATTTCAAGACATTTAGGGTTATATAGATCCATACTCGAAAGAGCAATACACATTGATGCTTATTCTGACAATAGCCTTAGCTAGATGGTAATAAATACTCCTTTTATATCTTTCCTTCTTTTGATTTTACAGGTGCATATCTGCCCCTGTTCGATCTTACAATTTGCGTGGAAAATGAGGTGAGGTGGGTCGTTTATAATACTTTTTATCTTTTTTATATTTGTGGTCATATTTCATCAGCTATAGTAAAATCATATCCACAGATCTTGCTGGCATCTCTAATGGTTCCGTAAAATGTTTCTTTATCTTTCACCCGACAATTTCCAGCCCAGCAGCAAATGCAAAAGTAACACGGTTACAACCTAAGAATGGTATAAAAGGGACATAATCTTATTATCTACACTGGAACGTCTTAATTTCTTTAAAAAGGAATATTCTTTGGTTTACTTTTTTACGCACAAGAGCAGCGTGGAGATGCCAGTCAAGCTTGTTATCAATTGTTACTCCAACTTCTACCTCCTCATCTTTAATAAGTAGAGGTTGCAATTGGTCTTTTTTTAAACTCTAAAGTCCATTATTAATTCCTTTGTCTTTTTTAAAATTTAATTTAGTAAAAGGGAGTGGTTATCACACCAATTTGCAGATACATTTAGAGCGTCCTTGCATTCATTTTCATTTGTTGTTATTAGGCCTTGTAGTGTAGAATCATCAGCAAATTTTTATTAGTTTGATGGTTTTGTTATTAATGTAAAAGTACAGTCATTGGTGCAGAGCGTAAACAAGTCAGTGGAGATTACACAACCTTGGGACGCACCGGTGTTCGTGAATATTAGGTCGGATTTTACACCATTTAATTTACATATTGAGGTCGATTGGTTAAGAACTCAAGAATCGAAGTTATAATGGCCTTGTTTGTGTTCATGTTCATTAGTTTTGAAACCATTATGTAGGCTGGGTTGTGTAGAAAGTGGGTGAAATATGAGCAAAAAGTATCCTGCAATAATTAAGTGGTGTGTCTATGTGTTTGTAGATGTGATTTAAGAACACGAGAATGGCATTTTCTACGCTCCTTTTGACACGATGTTGCATATTGTTTTCCTGTATGTCTTCTGTAGATTTCAGTTCTTCTAAACATTTAATAAGGACAGATGTTAAAGTCATTCATATTTTGAGGTGATTGTTTCTGTGGGACAGGAATTATTCTGAAGTGGATACTCGGTAAAACAGATTCTCAGCACGAAAATCAAACTCATGCCATCTGCTAGCATAGGCAAAAGAGCCTAACCATTACACCACAGGCACTCGGGTTCGAACTCATGATCTGCCCATATGAGACCGGACGTGATAACCATGAAACTATGGGCTACCCGAGAATTACAAAGTTCTATCTGCTCAGTACCTAGTTTCAGGGGCGAAGGCTGACTTGTTTGACAGGGTAATCAAAGTGAAACGGGACCAGATATGGCCGGTAAATATCACACAAGAATTTTACTCGAGGCGGCGACTCTGAGTTGTGAATGAAAACAAATCCAGAATTCATATTGTATGTTCAACCACAAAAATAATCGGGAAAGTATCTTATCAAATATCAATTCCAACTATAATAAAATTAAACTTTAGATGTGAATACACAAACACAAAACAAAAAAGCAGAGATGTCAGTACTAGATCTATATGTTATAGGTCTACCAGTGAGTCTAACTCTTTGGTAGAACATGACAATTATCATTTTTTAAATTTCACATTTGGCTGTTTTTGTCTAGCCTTTCGCAGGCTATTTCTATGGCCGTGAAACCGTTTTTAATGTTAGGCATACTGTTCATTGTTGATTATGAACGTCTTTTTACATTTAATTTGTGAGGTTTACGTTTATGGGTGAATTTTACAGCGACAAGGTTTCAAAATTAGGAAAAGAAGTAGTGATTATTTGATGACATGTATATAGACGCTTCGCCACTGCCTAGTTTAGAGAAATGTGACATAAAAATGTTTGAGTTTCTCAACATGTCAAGCGCTTTCGAAAGCAGTTCTTTGAATTGATAAGGACTCCGAATCGAATAACCTTACGATTTTGATAGAGCATATAGAACATTTAGTGAGGCAGCGTTGTGAAACCAGGCGCTCGTCAAAATACAGAAATAGGAGAAACAGGTATTGTTCCGAAAGTTAAAGAAATTTTAATCGAATGTTTATTTTTGGGCCCAACATTTTTCATGTCCATATAACAACACATTTCCACATGAATCTTACTGAAAAAACACCGATTGAAGGCACAGAATATATGCCATTTGTCTATCTTCAAGGACTCTATAGCTATTGGAGTTACCAAACGTTTGCGGCCATTTTCTCGCTAATTTCACCACTGAAACCAGGCAACCTCACTTCCTTCAATCGCGGATATCTTGAGTTCTATTCGAGATATTTGGATTTTATTTCATAGAAAGCAAGGCAAATAAATCAGCTTTCAGCAGATACCAAAAACTCCACATACACAAAAATTGACGAGCGCCTGATTCCACCGTGTCGTGACACATTGGTTTGTGAACTCATGGTCTTAGTGAGTCGTTGTTGTTGTTGTTGTTAGCGATCCAGTAGCATCTGAGCGTTAACTCTTCTGCATGATGCCATTCGGTAATAGTTGCATGTTTGTTCTAACTGTTGTCTTGAGGAGTAGAGGCAATTAGATGTGTGGGGTAGCTTGGGAAGAAAACATCCCCTTAAATCAGTTAGTTTTTTACAGAAAAAAAGATGATGTTCCTCTGTCTCTGAGGGGTAGTTACACAGTGGGCAGGCAGCAGACTGCTTTACTCCAATTCGGTTGAGATGTTGGTTGAGGGGTACATGTTGTGTTCTAAGTTGGAAGATTATGGATTGATCTCCCCTCCTCAACTCATTGATTGGATCTTTGACCAGTGGTTTATTCATGTGGCCATACATCTTCCTTCCTGTCGTACCTGTGGCCCAATCATTCATCCACTCTTCCTTGAGGTTTGACTTGATCATTTGGCAGCAGGTGGTGTAATTCGTAGGAATTTCAGGCTGAGGGAGGCTAGCTCCTTTCTTTGCCAGAGCATCAGCTCTTTCATTTCCCGGTATCCCAGTGTGGGCAGGAATTCATTGTAGGACTACTCTGACGTGGTGCCCACTTATCAAGTTATGTAGACTCCAAATCAAATGCAATATATCTTTGTTCACATCAGTCCCACTCTCAAGTGTCTCTAGTGTTGAAAGGCTGTCTGTAAATATAACGATGTCTGTGGTAGCAAGTAGGTTAGTGTCAAACAAGTAGTTGATGTAGTTTGCTGTGTTGGTGATAGCCTGTTGTTCGGCAATGAAATTGGAGCAGAAGGACCCGCTGGAGTTGAAGACTTCTTTTTTTCCCCACTGGGCAAGTTGATCACTGACCCATATCCAGCGTTGATTGTTGCCTTAAAGGCAGATCCATCAGTGTATGAGTGGATCCATGTTGGTGGATAGGAATCAATTGTTTCAAGGGCAGAATGTTTTAGTGCTACAGGATATGTGTTTCTATTGCTCTTGTCCAAAAGTGCTTTCCTAATTTCTGGCTTTGCTATGGTGAGATGTGGTGGGAGAGTTGAGGGAACTCTTTCCAGAGGTTCTCGTCTTTCAGGGAGGTGATGTTTTTCTTGGAGATTTAGAACAGTGTCAAGTACAGATTTTGTATTTTTTAGTCTTTGATTAGGTTTCCACTTGTCAACAAGGACTCTATTAGGGTGGTTATTTTCTAGCCGTTTAGATCTTTCATATATTTCTAAAGCTGTCCGTTTTCTTCGAGTTTCTAATGGCTCAATATTTGTGTGGATTTCACAGGCCGTAGTCGATGAGGATATCATTCCGCCAGAGATAAGACGAAGAGCTTGGTTTTGGATGGTGTCCATCGAGTTCTTTGAAGTTTTACTGCAAATGTTTTGTAGAACAAGATTATAATCAAAAACAGCTCTGGTATATCCCAAATAGAGGCCTCTCAAGGTGTTCTTGTCTGATCCTCAGTTGGTACTGGCAAGTCGTTTGATGAGATTAAGTCTCTTCATAGCCTTCTTCCTGAGGTTGTTGGTGTGTTGTTTCAGGTTGAGCTTGCTGTCAAGTTGTACTCCAAGATACACTGGGTTATTCTCCTTTTTCAAGTTGTTTACCATCTATTTTGAGAGGGATTTCTGCATTTGCAAGGTTATAGCTTCTCATAATAACAGAGTAGACAGTTTTTTCGCAATTTACTTTCATCTTCCATAGACGGCAATAGGTTCCTAGGGAATTTAGATCATCTTGTAGTCTTCGTCTGCTTATTGTTGTCGAGTTTCCAGTGTGCCAAAGGACCAGGTCGTCAGCAAAAAGGGCTTTTTCTGTTTTGAGAACATCTGAAACATCATTGAGGAAGACAAGGAATAAGGTACAGCTGATAGAAGATCCCTGTGGGAGTCCTTCCTCCAGTACTGCTTTTGGAGATAGAGTTTCATCCATCTGGGTCTGGATAAGTCTATCTGTAAGGAATGATTTAATCCAGGAGTACATGTTTCCCTTGATTCCCATGTTCTGCAGTTTTAAGAGTAGTCCTTTCCTCCATACTCTATCGTAGGCTTGTTGGAGATCCACAAACACAGCCGTTGTCTGTTCCCCTCTTTGAAATCCATCAATGATTTTCTGTGTGAGCCTGAAGAACTGGTCTTCTGTCCTGCCTTTTGACCTGAACCGTGCTTGACACTGTGAGTCAAAACGGCCAAAAATGTCAAAGAGAACTTTGTAATTCTTATTCTACGGTAGCGTAGAGCTACCTACCTGAGTCCCAGTTCGTCCATACTGCCACGTCCCCATCAGACCACACCCAGGTTCCTTCAGTTACCTCGTCTGTCATTGGTAGCCAGATTGTGTTGGAACTGTGTTGATGTGTGTGTGTGTGTGTGTGCGTGTGTGTGTGTGTGTGTGTGTGTGTGTGTGTGTGTGTGCTTGTGTGTGTGCGTGTATGTGTGTGTGTGCGTGCGTGTGTGTGTGTGTGTGTGTGTTCGCGTGCAATTGTATTTGTTTGAGAGTGTGTTGATGTGTTGGTGTGTGTTCGTGTGCATGCGTTTGGACGTGTTAGGAACAGAAGGTAGGGGTGGGTGGGAGAAAAGGGGGAGGGGGGAGATAAATAGTTATGAGTTTCCTGTGTTTCAAGCTCAAATTTCTTCCATCCTATGTGATTAATTTTTTATTCACCTGTGGGAGAATCTTCTCTCTCTCTCTCTCTCTCTCTCTCTCTCTCTCTCTCTCTCTCTCTCTCTCTCTCTCTCTCTCTCTCTCTCTCTCTCTCTCTCTCTCTCTCTCTCTCTCTCTCTCTCTCTCTCTCTCTCTCTCTCTCTCTCTCTCTCTCCCCCCTCTCTCTCTCTCTCTCCAAGGAAGAATTGGATCAACCCACTTTGAGCAGCCAAAAACCAAACCTTTTTAAATAGAAGCGTGGTGGAATCAGGCTCTCGTCAAAATAATCAAAGTGAAGAAACTTGCATTTTTCTGCAGGTTTGTGAATTTTTATCAAATTTTTGTTTTTGGGCTCAACACCTTTCATGTCCATTAAAGAACTCATTTCTGTGTGGATTTTTCTTAAAAACGTTGATGAAAGACACAAAAAATGTAAATTTTCAGTTACCACGGACTGTTAAGCTAAGGAAATAACTACTTTTTGGTGGCCATTTTCTCACTAATTTTACCTCTGAAAACAGGTGACCCCACCTCCTTCATTTGCAAATATCTCAACTTGTATTCAAGATAAATGAATATTTTTCATTGAAATAAAGACAGGTGAACTAGCTTTAAGATGACACCGATAACTCTACATGCCCAAAAATTGACGAGAGCCTGATTCCACCACGCTGCTTCACATATGTATTAAAATAGACAGATGTTAAATCAATTACAAATCCAGGTATCGCAAGGCCGGATGTCAGATAGCCTTGAATTTAACACCTAGAGTTTGGATATTCATCAGTGCTGTTCTGCCAATAAAAGGGTTTTAACTTGTAGCACACACGCACAAGCACACACACACACACACACACACACACACACACACACACACACACACACACACACACACACACACACACACACAAGAATGGGTAAACCACACCAGAGCACTCGCCAACCATCTACTTACATGAGATTGTACAGGATGGTGTTTTCTGCCTCGGTTTTGGCGGTGGGAAGCGCGCCTCCGAGAGCTCCACATGCCTCTTTAGCATCAGATAATTGGACCGAGGAGTCGAAGTACTTGTAACACTGTCCACTGGCCAAGTCCAGGGACCAACCATGCGGACAGACTGATCACGCGAAAAGAAAAACAGAAAAAAGAATGACTGAATAAAAGATTTTTAAACAGTTAAATCAACGTTCAATGAGTTTGTTCAGTTCAAAATCTATGGAAGCTTACAGCCATATATAAGATATAACAATATATGCGTATTATATTTATAATATGTCATATTATATGTGTATGACATATATATATATATATATATATATATATATATATATATATATATATATATATATATATATGTGCACATACACATATACATATATAAAATATTTGTGTATATTTTAATTTTTAGAAGTCAAAAGAACTTGAATTAAGGAAAGAAAAGTTACTGTTTTATGGGCTGGATATTTGTCTTCTTTCATGTGTTTATTTGCTTGTTTGTGTAGTTGTTTGTTTGTTTATTTGTTCGCTCGTTTTTTTGGGGTTTTTTTTTGTTGTTGGGTTTTTTGTGAAGGGAGAAAAAAGGGGTTGTTACTATTTAGAAGGGTTAAATGATCCTCACAATAGTCATATGGGAATAAAGACTCTGCCAATCCATACGCGTCTTCATTAGTGACTGTCGTATGCTTTACCACAGCCAACTTTTTTTCAGGGGAAAGAAGGTTACATGGGCACAATGACCTTATTCATTTTGTGGATTAAAATCGTGTCTCAGGCAAGAAGTCTGAATAAAGACTTACCATCACAGACAAATCCTAGATCTGACCATTGACCAGACGTGAGGCAGATTTTGTCCATCGTAACGTCAGAGGTGTCACATTTGTAGGTGACCGTTGCCCCCAAATTATAGCTGCTCTGATTCCCACCAGAGACAATTGAGCCATCAATTACGTCTCCAGGATTCCCACACTTCACATCAGATGCTGGAGAAAAGAACAAACAATAATATAATGCAATCATGACACTTTTCAAATATTAAAAGCAACGTAATGAGACAATGACACTTTCTACCATACTTAAACAGCATAATGAAACAATGACACTTTCTCCCATACTTAAACAGCAGAATGAAATAATGACGCTTTCTCCCATACTTCAACAATATAATGACATAATGACACTTTGTCCCATTTTAAACACCATAATGAAACAGGGACGCTTTCTCCCGCACTTAAATAACATAATGAAATAATGACACTTTATCTCATACTTAAACAGCATAAAAGAATAATGGCACTTCTCCCATACTTAAACAATATAATGATATAAAGACACTTTCTCCCATTTTAAACACCATAATGAAACAGGGATACTTTCTTCCACACTTAAATTACACAATGAAACTCTGATGACACTTTCTCCCAAACTCAAACGACGTGATGAAATAATGGCACTTTCTCTCATACTCAAACAACACAATAAAACAATGACACTCTCTCATACTCAATATCACTGGAAGTTTGCTACAAAATTATTGAACACCTATCTTTATCTCGTGTCGACCTGCTTTTAAGTCGGCATAACAACAATAGATGAAGCTACCGTATGATTTAAGTTGGGAAGACGGCACTTTGTTCTTGTACAAATGTGACTGAGTACGTACAAGATCAAAATGTGGAGAGCAAATAGAAAAAAACAAGGAAAATTGTCAGCACCAAAGCTACTAGCCATCGTATTCAAGAAATCAAAAGTAAAATAGATAAAGAAACATAGACACCTACCCCACCTCATGTCGGATAGAAACAAGGCAAAGAAAACAAGAGAGTGGCTGAAAAGAAAATGCCTTTTTACAAATCAACATTTTGCTATAATTCCCAGACACTGCTTCAGTCACGACACTCTAGTTCTCTAGTACAAGATGGAGAAAAATGTGTCAAAACATGGTGGAATCAGGCGCTCGTTAATTTTGGGGCATATATGGAGTTATTGGTATAACCTTAGAGCCTATTCATTTACCTTTATTTTGGGGCACATATGGAATTATTGGTATCATCTTAGAGCCTATTTGTTTGCCTTGATTTTGATTTTAAAAATGTCTATCTATCTTGAATAGAAATCAAAATAGTTGCGGTTGAAGGAGGTGGGGGTCGCATGGCGAAGATGTAAAATTTGCGAGAAATGGCTGCAAAAATTTGGGGACTTCCAACAAAACTTTACGTCCTTGAAGACTGAAATTTTAGTTTTTGTGTCTCTGGGCAATTTTTGTTCTAGTAAAATGTTTTAAATGGGCTTGTAAGATGTCAAGATAAGAAAAAAGGCGATATAAATTGCCCAACGGGAGAAAGAATGCTGATTTCTTCGATTTCATTATTTTGACCAGCGCCTGATCTCGCCATGATGTCATACACGTAATGAACACAGAATAAAAAGTAAAACAGAAAAAAATAGAAAGAGTGAGTCTATCTGATGAAGCACAAAAGTTTCCCTGATATTTGTTGAAAACAATGTACAAAAGTAAAGAGTGCTGCTGCAAATTTATGTTATAGTGGTGCTTGAACATCAAACTACCAATTCTTTAAATCGGGCGTTGCTCATAGTTCAAACTGAGAGAGATTTGGAAGGATGAGATGGCAGCTTGACGTCATTCACATTGGCACATCCGAAATTTCCGCAAAAGAAAAAGTTATTGAATAGGAAAAAAAAACTAGCCTCTCTTCAGCACCTTATAAATCAGGGAGCAGAAAATCTATTTTAAAAGAAGATTTTATTTTTCTTTTGAAGAGGGAAGGGGGGGGGGGGGGTCTTTATTTGTTAGGGTTTTTTTTTCTCTTACTCTATGGAACACAAAAATGCATGCAGAGCACAATTAGATCTAATGCTAATCCACAAACAACCAAAACAGATAACCTGATGGATTCGTGAAAATTAAACAGCCACAAAATTATGTGCGAAAGACAGAGAATGTATCGCTCGGGTGTCTCACCTTTATCTGAGACTGCAGGTAAATCTACTTCACAGGTTTTGGCACACTGAAATCTTGCTTCATCCTCATAACCTGACAAACTGCACAGGCCTATTTCAGATTTCCTAGCACAGTTTTCGTCATTGTCATATGCAGTGCCTGGAATAATAATACAGTCATAATGATCAATAGCATTTGTATAGTGCAATTTTTTTTTAAAATTATGTATTATTAATCCAGCAGACCCGATAGTATTCTGAAACGATATCAACTTCCTGGAAGGAATACGGTGCAAGCAACCATTTCGTGAGGTAGCACCATAACTATTGAAACTAGGGTTTTTTAAGTTTTAGAGGAGGAG